GGCTGGGGAAGGGGTGGGGAAGACAAGATTGAAGATCATTCAGAAATTTCAATTGTCTTTATATGGGTTGAATTAAATTGAGATGTTAATATAGGGCCAGAGTCAAACAACACTCAAGAGTTAATATAGGCTCTTATGAATGGTTTGATGTGGCACACAATGGAAGATGAGGAATCCAGGATGACTCTCAGATTTCTGATTTGAGAAACTGGGTGGATAGTGATAGTATTAACTAAAATGAGAAAATAGGAAGAACATGCAGGTTGTTGGTGTTTAATGGGGCAGGGAACCCAGAAGGATGACAAGGAGATAGAAGAGGTATGAAGCACCTGTTAAATACAGAGAGATGTTTAGATGGGTATTTGGAAAAATGAGCTTGGAGCTCCAGAATGAGGTCTGAGCCAGAACAACATAGATTTGGAAGTCACCACTGATAATTAGTAAAGCTCATGGGAGAGGATGACATCACTCAGCAGACCAAGCAGAATAGAAAGAGAACATTGAGGACAAAACTCCAGGGAAGCCCGGCATTTACAGGGTGAGAGAAGCAGGAAGAAGTTGGAAGAAAAGAATTCTCTTGGTTGGCCAAATAAGTGAGATAATCACTAAAAACTATCCAGTGAATTTGGCAACATGTTATTGTCACCTTGGCAAGCGCATTTTTAGTGGATCGATGTCTAGAGGACTCAGATTGCAGTGTCCTTAGGAAGGTAAGGAACTGAAAACTATAAATGTAGAATATTCTTTCAAGGCTTTTGTAAGAAGAGGAGAGAGTAGGAGGGGTAGTTGAAGAACTAAAAGATTTTTATTTTTTACTTTTTGTTTATTTTTCCAGAATGAGTAAGTTTTTAGGTTGGGAAAAAGAAACCAGTGGAGAAGGAAAAATTGAAAATTGATGAAATAAGATCCTTCAGTGAAAATCTTGATAGGCTCAAAGTGTAAGTGGAATCATTAGCATTAGGCAAGAAGAGATAAGAACAGATGTTCCAGGGCCCACATCTCCCTTTATGTAAGTAAAATCATTCTTTCTTGTACTTTATCTTGAGTCTCGGCAAAGATGGAATGTGGATCAACATCTTTTTCTATTATTAAAACAAGAGAAATACAAATCCCAGGGTCTAAATTTCTACTCCTCTCTTAGCCATTTAAACTCCAATTAAATCTTTTATAAAAATCACCTCTAGTTAGAATGATCCAAAAACTATAAAAGAATTCTCCTAGGTATTGCTCTTTAGGATTTCCCAGCAAAACAGGAATCCAGAGTTCATTGACGGCAGGGTTGCTAGGCAACCATATAATTAACATTACCTACCAAAATGGCCTGACACAGGAAATAGCCTTACTTTAAGTGCAAATGTAACTCCACACTTCATTTTGCTCCCTCCCCTGTCCCCCATAAATTTGGCGTTCTTTATGAAAGAGAAAATTTGCCATAAAACACAAAGGATATTTATTTTCGTAACACTGAAATTTGTTAAGTCATTTAGCCCAAGATGCAAAAATAGTACCTATGTCCATTCCAGAACAGAAAACAAGAGAAATTCTTAACAGTTCTTATAGCGATTTTATTTAGAAACATTCCTATCCATTATACATATGCATAATGTTTACTGCTAGAGAAAAACAGAAAAGATTTGCCATAGAGTATTATAGACAAAACTTAAGTATGAACATTTTTTAAGAGCTTCAAGGGATTATTTTCTTGAGCATAGAATATGAGAAGGTAATTGAGAAATATATTATTTATGCTTATATTTATTATTAAAATTCTTGATGATCATGTACTTTGTATAATACTCTGAGATTTATAACATTGAATGCTTACCAACTACCATTTTTTTTGGAGAATAGTATTTCTAAGATGGATTATGATGATTGGGGAAATGAAAAGAGAGCTAATATTGATTGGGTATCCGCTGTAGTCTGGGACACTTGTCTACATAATCTCATTTATCTCCAAAACTGTGAAATAGTTATTTTCCTTAGCTATTCAATACATCTACATTAATTAATTTAGGGAGAGCGAAACCTATTGAAGTTGTTCTCAGGTGTATGTTTTAGATCCAAGATGAAGTCTCCTCTCTTTTTTCCATGTTTTTAGTAGGGCATCCCTTAAACTTTGAAAGACTAAGTGATCTTTACTACTTAAACCTTTTCATTACTCGTCATTCTTTAAACTCATTGAGTACATTCTAGTATATAACTTCTCAAATGACAAGACTAAAACAATTTAGTAATGAATCTGATGTCCTTTATTTAAGGGAAAATGATCCATGGATGGGGAGAGTACAGTGCCTCGCAAGCAGTAGAATGCTCTTTCCGAAGGATTTGGGGCAAGACTTTTATAGAATGTTAGGAAAGGCAATATGGAAATGGAGCGTGACTGACTAGGAAGCTGGAGATTTCCTTAGAAGGCTAGCAGGTCCTATTTTCTAGGGTAACTGTAAGCAGCTAAAGCTGAACCAGATAGTTGTGATTGGTGTATGTCAGGTTTCCTTGGCAGGTGTTTCCTAAAAGTGCAGTCTGACTTAGGTTTAGATTTGTGATGTGGGCTGGGCCACTGTGGCAGCCTCCATTTTGTGGGTTCCAGAATACAAATTAACTTTATCAAACTGCTTTCTTACTAAGCACTGTCTCCTACCTGGACTGCTTTTTGACTCCCCTTTTAATACTCTTATTTTTACGCTATCTTCGAAGCTCTCTACCATTCCATTTTCTTATCAAGCCCTCCCCAACAGTCCCAAAATTCCCTGATTGCCTGGTGTGCTGACCTATAAAGCTCTAAGACCAGTAACAAATCCAGCTTATTTTATCAACTGACAACACATTCTGGAACCCTGGTGGGTCAACAGATATGATATCAAGTCCTCCTATGGAGACCTCAAGTTCTAAGACTAGAAAATAATCAAATAAATAGAAGACCTGCTAAACCAGGTAAGTACCAATGTACACAGTATATTAATTAAAGCAAAGAGTACAGTATTACTACTAGATCTTGAACAAAAAGCCATTGAAATTTATAAGTGAACATTTCATGCAATGAAATCTGGAGCTGGCATTTTACTTCTCTGGCCTACCAGATTAGAACTCCGGTAAAAGCACAAAACTTTGGTTACCACTGTTAAATGAGACTGAACCAGCTCGAATGCCTGGGCAGTCTAAGTAAGTAAACCATAATCTAAGCCTGTAAGTGCCTGTAAAACAAAACCTAAGCACAACTAACCACAGTTAACTAGGCTTGAAGCTATAACCCACTGATAATTTCCTTGCTTTGCTTCTGCCTTTTCTGTGGAAAAGTCTCCCCAGCTCCTGTCAGCGAAGTGCTCCTAACTACCCCGATGGAATGAATTTTTGCTCAAATAACTCGAAATTTTTAACTCCATTCTATAATAACTAAGGATTGAATGAATATGAGGCAGAAACTTGGTGAATACTTCCTCAGGTAGGTAGATATTGGTGACTATTGGCGACTGTCTTCTCTGTCCTATGAGATAATTTGTTGCAAAACACACTTTCATTCACCTTCTCAATTAGATTGTTCTTTCTCAAGGCAATGGTCTCTTCTTCGATGTCTTTGTGTCTCTAATGTCTATATCAAGAACCACTCAATATATATTTCAGGTTGTTGACAATGGTTGTTTTGATATATTCTCTCTAGGTAAAGGTTCATATACTGTAATCTATAAAGTCACCTTTCTTCACGATCTAGAGAAAGAGCTTTCGGAACATTAAGTAGCATCTACCTAGAGGTAAATAACTGGATTCTCAAAGTTGTGTGTTTACTTCTGATACATTTTAAATAGGCATTAGTTTCCCACATACTCTCTTTATCTAAATGTAGATGAAAAAAGGCTGCTGTAATAAATTATAATTTCCTTACTGGGCAGGTCATGGTGGGTAGTCACATCCCAGACATATAACTTCTTTAGTGAAAGGTCTTTAAACAAGCCTTGTCCATTGTTCTTGTACATCTAGGTTAACACCTTTGAGATGCAACAAGTAATACCCCTCAAAAGCATAACTACACTTAAGAAAGCACATAATCTTGTTAACTGTCCTATAATTCAATTCCTGCCTTGCTTTCTCACACCCTCTGCATGATCTTCCTTATGTCCCCTCCTTAATTTCAAATGCATAAAAGAAGCTGCAAAACTTATTCTCTGGAGCATTTAAAATCTTGATACATGGCACATGTCGTCAATTTGGCTCAAATAAACTTTTATAAAAATTCTCTACAGGTTTGGATGTTTCTTACCTTGATATAAATAAAGACTTTATATCTGAGATAAAGTCGTGAAAGTCAAATTTGCATCCAAAATGACATAGAGCTGCCTTTAAAAATACATTTCACTAGAATTTCATTCCAAATGAATATTCAAAGATAGCCATACAAAATTAAGAAAATAAATTGGTTTTAGTATAGTAAAATTGATTTCACTATAGTTTCAAGAAACTTGGAAAATAAAATGTCACACTTGGCAAACATGGCCATAAAGATGCACTGAGGTGGCTCATTCTTATCTCCTATAACTTCTGATCAAAAGTTAATGCCTACGTGACCTACAGTTGTATTTTTTGCCTCAGTTACAGATTGAAATATAAATAAATTTTACTGTGTTAACGTGAATCCACTGGCTAATAAAAAAAGCATAGATTTGAGGACTTTGCTCCCTGTTTACTCACAAAAATTATCCTAAACTGAAAGATGTTTGGTGTGCCTTTACTCCCCTCTGCTGGTAAATTCTAAGATAGCACTTAGTTTTTTTTTTTTTTGAAATCAAATTGATAGAAATATAAATTGTGTTTTTAAAACATTAAGAAATAATGTTGAAATCACAAAAAATGTATTCAATCTTTTTCTAAAATTCAATTCTTTCAGTTTGAAATATTAAATATTATTTTCTAGAACAAATCCTTAGTCCATATAATTTGTTTCTAGTGTCCAGCTTTCTTTCCCCCCACTTATATTTAAGGCATGGTCAAGAGAATGGAGACACAAAGAATAGAAAGAGGGTATTTAGCCATTAAAACTGAATTCATTTACAAATTGAAATAGCATTACACCTTGTTTATACTGATCCATATATATTATAAAACATTTGCACATGTGTATATCTTATTTATTTCTCACGGTAATACCATGGTGTAGGTGTGCACATTCTAAAATATAGAATTTATTCTTCCTAAAAAGCAAAAAGGATCACTGTGTTCAGCCTCAGTTAAATTCTGAAATAGGCTCATTAACTTGGCACCTCCAACTGTTGTGTTTTTTGCCATTTTTTCTATAAACCCTTTTCTGTTCCTCAGGTGACCTGTAGTATAATCAAGGTTTCCCTTTAGAAAATAAAGTATCTGAAACTTATTATAAATAAAGTATCTGAAAATTATTCAATGTCTCATCTCTCAGGATAATTTACATTTTAAAAGAAAATCCGAACTAAAGCCAAAGCAACCAAGCCCTAAGAGAAAATTACAGAGATTAGTGAGGGAGATCTTTTTAAATAGAAAGGTACTCAATTATCTCTCAAATAGAAATGTGGTGGCTTTTGAATCAAGGCTGCTTTCAAGTTCACCAGTGTCTCCCAGGAGAGGTGTCACAAGTGTTTTGTGATTCAGATGAGCATGGATTTTGGAGCAGGCAGACCCAGCCCTGCCATTTAACAGCTTAGGATCTTGTATGATTTTTTAAACTTTTTTAAACCTCAGCTTTCTCATCTGTAACACCCACTTCCTAGGGCTGCTGTGAGGGTTAATGCCTCACATGCTGTATACAGTAAATGCTAGTTCCCTCTGCCTCTTCCCTTGATGGAGCCCCTCAGATGGCAGAGTAATTTAAGTTTGGCAGAAGATTAGACAGTAACACCACTAATAATTTTAGTTATGAGATTTTATAGGTGAATAAGTTCTTTCCTATGTAATTTTGCATAAGAAGTATTGAAGTATTTCTTAGAAATAGTTCCAAATCAGGCCCCATAGCTGCTTCACTCAGACCTCCTGTAGGTATCGAGGACTCTCTTCAGGATGTGAGATATCTACATAACTTCATGTTTCTTTCTGACTACTCTATTCGTGGTCTGTGAAGCCACTATCTCTAGTTAACAAACACTTCTGCTTGGTGTAGTGCAGAGGAATAGAATCTGTGTAGAGTTGTTCCTATTGCATGGTCCATGGAAGGACAGGTCATGCATTTGAGCCAGTCAACAGAAAAGACTCAGGGGATCAGCTGCCCAACATCCTTGAGAAACCATCAGCACTCCCTTAGCCATTAGCCTGGTCTCAAGTGTGTGAAGATATCTCACCAGCTGGTTCTGTTATCACCCATCTCTTGTCTCTCCTTTCAACTTCAGGGGAAATTCCAAAGCAATAACAGTTCCCCATCACATCGGGTTCCACACAGAATTCTATGAAGACAGAAGATAGTTCAATGGATTTAAGATTGCTGGCAGGGGTTAAGTGAATCCACCCCTCTTTTAATTTTGGCCATAAAAATGCACTGAGGTAATTCATTTTTCTCATCTCCTATAAATTCTCATCAAAAGTCAACACATTAGGATTTTAATGCTTCATTTATTCTGTGGATTATAGTAATATACTTTACTGCCATGACCTTTTCAATATTCTGTAATTTGCTTGACTGAGCCTGAAGCTCTCTGTTTATAGCGTTATTGATGTCCACAGGAGGAACACGGAATAAATAAACACAATAAACTCTTCAAGGGAATCTTGCAAAGTAGGGGAGGGGTGCCATATCAATCTAGCAGGGAAATGGGGATGCTTCCTTTTCCCTTATATTAAAAGTATGTAAGTGAAATTCAGTAGAGAATGCCTTTGTTCAGAGGAGCAAGGAGAAAGGATCACATTTGAAAGACCTTGGAATAGAAGTCTATCCACACAGTAAGGCACACAGGGTAAAGACTCTAAACTTTCAGCATTTAATCTAGATGTCAGAATTCTCTGAAGCCTGAGACTTCTGACTTTGTACCAGCTACAAATACCACTAATCACAATAGTTAATATTTTTGAGATTTTTAATGTACCAATTCTAAAATGCTAAGAATTCCACATGAGTCATGTTATTTGAGATGGATACTTTATTGATGTCCATTTTACAGATGAGGAATTTGGGGCTCAGACAAGTTAGATAACTTTCCCATAATTAAGTGGTAGAGCTGGAATCAAACCCTGGTCATCTGACTTCATTCCCCCAGTGGCCATAAAAATTTACAACTCAGATTTTGTGCTGCAAGGAATATAGCTGACTCACAGCTCCAGCTGTTAGCCCTCTGGATCTACCAGAGGCATTTGTACCATGGGCTGCTCTCAGTCAATGACTGAGGGTTACTAGTACTGGCCCATTCCTATTGGATACAAGACTCCTCCAACATGTGATTTTAAGTGAGGATCTCCCCATTAACTTGGCCAAAATGTCTTAGAACTGTGCTATAGTACAGGTTCTTTCTACTGAATCCTTCCTTCCCACCTCCCCATTAACAGGTGTCACATGACCTGTATCATAATCTACAGGTTCTTCCTGGCTGCTCTTGCTTCCTCCCATTTATCCTTCACAAGCACTTCCCCCTCAAAATCTCTTGTACATCTAATCACGTCTTGGTGTCTGCTTCTTGGAGGACCTAAACAACACACTAATCCTGCCTTAATTCTGGAGAGTGGCATAAACCTCCCTATCCTTCTCTGCTTACCTCAAAGGTCAAGCAAGAAGTGATGTTGTAGGTTGATGGATTGTCTTGTCTTTGAAAGGCCTTTGATGATTTCAAACTATTACTTTCCTATACCCACTCATTTTCCTCCTTTTAATAATAATAATTAATACTAATAATAATAAAACATATATGTTCTATAATTATGTCCAAATTTCTTAGCTCTGGGAGACTACAGAAACATTTGACTAAACCTTGGAGACAGTTTGAGTGCAAAGATAGGAAAGCCCACCAAGTAGCAGTCCTAAAGTCTTCTCTATGGGTTTACGTGAACAAGATGCAGAGTGCATCAGAGCTCATTTCTGAAACACCAATTACCAAGTACTCTGAAATAATGAGAGAAAAAATAATTCAGCAGTCAAATACTAGGAAGTGCAACCTAACTCCCTCCTCTTAATGGTAACTCCCAGTGCACAATGGTGTATTAAAGGCCCCTAGAGATCGCATGGCAAAGAAACTGGTTTAAACTCCCACATTTATTTGACAAGGGGTCTACTTTTTAAAACTCCACAGAACTAGGAATCTGGAGTCTGTGCACATAGCCATGTTGGTATACAGGTTTTCCTGCTTCCTCTCATGTCAAATCTAGATTCTTAATTTTTATCCTCAAGGTGTTTTTTTGCTTTGTTTACCCCACTGTATAAGAGTGGCAGCTGAATCCCTCATTAAATTCATTCAAAAAGCACTAAATGAGAACTTTGACACTCAAAATTCTGGGCTACACTTTGTAGGAAGTAAACACGAACTTGGCTCCTGCCTTCTTAAGGGACTTAGACCTTGAGCAGGAAATGTAAGGCGTGTAAATAGATCACTCAATAGCAGCCCTAACGTAATTTCATCCCAGAAAAGAGAACACCCTGACGGGGTCGCAGACGTTTGAGAATGGAAAAACAGCGGGAACAAGAACTGGATATGCGCAGTAGTGTTTGTCAAAAAGATAACCAAGTTTTCAGCAATGCGCGAGCCCCAAGCCAGGTTCCTCTCGAGTGTTCCCTAATTCCATTTCCCACTGAATAAAGCTTCTGCAACTGCCATCTCCCGCACACTACTCTCTCATTACAGGTTTTATTTGTTTTATTTACTTATCTATGCGCTAAGATTTGAGCGTCACCATCTGTCCTCCAAATATGGAACAGTTTCCATTGCCAAAGTTCCTACCAAAGGCCCTCAGTTAAGTTACTAAAAATCAGTGTTTGTGAATCCTGACTCAAGTTGTCTCACCTCGGGATCCGTAGAAGCAGTTTCTCTGTAAGAGGGCCTTCAGCCTCCGCCAAGTTCTGAAAAGATGAGAATGAGGTGTCTATCACATTTCCCCGAATATATTGTCTTAGGCGCAGGCCAGGTGTATTACAATACTCTTTATAAAGTATTTTTCTCCAAAAATGTGGCTATAAAGGAGGAAGTGGGACTCATCTTTTTTTCACGTTTCTTAGTTTTTCCCGTCATTACCGTTCGTGGTTTCCCCTTCGCCCGCACCTCACTAGACAGGCGACATCTGGCCACCCCCTGGGGTCCTGATTTTGAAAAGAGTAGCGGGCCAATCAGAATACGGAGCGCTGTTTGGCGCTGCCATTTGAGCCTGGGCTGGAATTGAAGGGAAGACATTCACGGTGGTTCCGGTTGTCGCGGGGGCGGTGGGAGAGGAGGCATGAGGAGTGCTGATTAGCTTCAGTGAGCGCACCAGGATGTGCAGGCCGGGGGCTGCAGGCAGGCCGAAGGGGGAGGGAAGGAGCAGCCTGTGAAACGGGGTGACAGTGGCGACCAGCCCGGGCGGGGACCGGGACTGGAAGAGACGCTTGAGCAGCCGGCTGGTCCGGCGGCTGGGCTACGGCGGGGGTCGCGGGTACAGAGAGAACATTCAGCTGACTCTGCCAGGGCAGGAGGGACGAGAAGAGTCGTCCTTACAGTTAAAGACGAGGGCAAAGTCAGGTTTGGAAAAAAGGGAGTCTTAGGAAGTGGCCGGAAGTGGTGAGAAGCTGATAACAGGCGTTGGTACAAGGGTCAGAAAGGATCAGAAAGAAGGGCAGTTTGTGTAAGTAGCTGAAAGGGTCGGGTGGCAAGAAAGGTCTGTGTAAGTAAAGGAAAGGTGAGGTGTGACTAGATAGAAAGACTAAGAAAAGACGGTGGGTGGAAGTGGATAGAACTAGGAAAAAGTCGTGGAAGTGGCTGGGGTCCGGGAGCGGAACAGTGCTAGACTTGGCCGGAAGGCAACGGAGAAGAGCGCAAACCTGAGAGTGTTCGGAAATTGGAACCCTTGGTGGCGAACGGGTTTCAGGACTCAGATTCTGCCTCGGAGAGTGGGCGACGTGCGGGGGATGTGGGATCAGAGGCTTGTGAGGTTGGCCTTGTTGCAGCAGCTTCGGGCTGTCTATGGCATCAAACTCAAAAGTGGCGGTAGGCAGTGCGATCGCAGGAAACATGAGACAGTAGCCACGGAAACAGTGGTAAGTTCTGGGGAAGGAGATTTAGGTTAAAAAA